GCGCACCTGGCTCCTCATGCTTTAACGGCGGGCTGTTTCCCCGCGAGGAGGCCAGGCGTGGCCATGGGTCTCTTTCTTGGTGTGCAGTTTCTCCTTTGTGGACATGCAGTTTAGAAGTCCTTTCTGCTTTTTGTTTTCATTGTTGGTTTGAGTGAAGGGCATACATTGGGTTGTTAGGTGTCTTGTGTCCAAATTTGGTGTCAATTCGTCCAGTGGTTTTTGAGTTCTGTTAATCCCACAAACGAACATTACATTTTTATTTATATAGATAAAAGATAAAAAATTCAAAAAGCAAAAGTATATTTCAAAAGATCAATCCAAGGTAACATAAGCGTCTTAGATCGGCGACTTCCCTCCTGGCGTTTAGGAAAAAACTGAAGACTTGGCTGTGGGACCAAGCTTTTGGTCATTCTGACAGATAACTTAAGGATCTGACGTTAGACAAGGACAAATGGAATGGAATGGATATATGGACTCCGAACCCTGAGCTTGAGATTGTTTTATGAGATTGTTTTATTATTTTATTATGCATTGATGTTTTAATTTAATTGTTGAACTGTTTTGTATTTTGTATTGCTTGTCAATAGTTTTGGGCATCTAATTGTGCCCCTCTGTAAGCCGCCCTGAGTCCCCCCTGGGGTGAGAAGGGCAGGGTATAAGTAATTGAAATAATAATAATAATAATAATAATAATAATAATAATAATAATAAGCAAACAAGATCCATGAAGGCATAGGCAAGGCAAGGTCCCGTGAGAACATGACGAAGTCCTGAAACATGAGCATGAAAAGCTGCAAGGTAACTCCAAAGTCTCTTGGTTGAAGCGTGAAGTTGCTCTGACACTGAGGCACATTCAAACAGTCTGTTGAATACGCTTGGGCCAACATGAAGGTGTTCCTATGGCCTCGGGCCTCTCTCTCTCGCCTCCCGGCGATCCTGACACTCCTTCGCACTTTCAATTCCAAACGATCAGTCCTATCTAACTCACCAGCCCCATCAAGGTCAAATCCCCCGTTAGCTGGCTGAGAACTATCCTCCCTAATTCCTTCATCAGGCACCTGGCATTCAGTCTCAGTAGTTTCACTTTCCCCATCGTCAACCCTTGCTGTGGGAAACAACTGAACTCCTGCCCCTTGATCCTGGTCTTCCTCGTCTAACACAGGCACATCCTTGCTTTGCATCTGACTCCGACTCTGAATCTCATCATCTGTTGTGGCTCAGTTTGATTCTGAGTCTGAAACTGAACCCTGTGAGTCTTGTGAGCCAGAGTTCCCTGATGAAGAGGATGATGGGATTCAGATTTCTGTTGTGCCTGCTTCAGACAGTACAGCAGGGGAAACATCAAATCTGTTCTCAGGGGGAAAGAATGTCAGTGGGATAGATGACGGCCAGGTGGAGTTGCCTTCGCCTTCTCAGCCTTCCCACGGTGATCTAGTCCAGCTGGACCAAGATAAAGAGAGCCTTGAAGATAGTGAATTAATGAGCAGGCAAGAACGCTTAGAATTAAGGGTTCGGAGGAGCTCTCGCTTAGCTGGTAAGCGAGAAGCCAAGTCAGCCAAGGGTCATCGCAATGCGTTCATGATTGCAAAGGTATTTAGCCTTCTAGCTCACAAACGGGAGTTGTCAGTTCAACGTGGCTCTTTACATGCAAACTATAGATTAACCTTGGCATTAAGCAGCTCACTTTTGGCTTCCTGAATCTGGGATTTGGGGTCTTGTGTTTCACTGTTTTGCCATGGACTCTTGTTTGATCAATGCCTGAAGGATTATGCTTCATGTTCTTGCCTTTGGATCTTGGGAACTGTGTTTTGCATTTAAGCCTTTGTCCTGCTTATGGAACAATTGCATTTCTTATTCTATGTTTTGACTTTGCTTTTTTCTCAATAAACTACAAAATCTACAGCCCTGGTGTGGTGGTGTTTGGGTGTAAGGTGAAACTACCCTGAGTTGTAATATCATCCCCATCAGAGTAATTGACACCCTTATTCTGTGATTCCAGCTGAGTCACTACACTTTGGTTGGAGAGCAACGGAGCAACGGTGACAGTTTTTCAATAGATTGCAATATAAATTGCCTCCAGCCCTGCGCATGGTTCGCATTGCAGAGTTTATAAAATGAGTAATATGTCACACTCTCTTCCTTATGCTCTTTGACAGCCTTTGGTTGGCACAGATAAGCCCTGCACGCATTGCCTTCCCCGTGTGTGGCTTGGGAGGCAGCGGGTTGTTCCATCCGCGTTGCTGACTTCCTTCCGAAACCCTTCTCTTTTTTCAACCTTCTCCATCTGTTCTCTGGCCCAGGCCTGTGCTTTTGCCAGAGAGACAAAGACGTACCGGCTTGTGAGGTCTGCAAAAGCTTGGCTGGACAACTGGTTTTGAAGATGGAATGCTATGTTAATTAGTGCAAAAATAATGCTTCTAGAGCAGTGTTTCTTCACCTTCCTAATGCCGTGACCCTTTCATACAGTTCCTCATGTTGTGTTGACCCCCAACCATAACATTATTTTAGTTGTCACTTCATAACTTTAACTTTGGATTGTTTTAGGTTTTTCAAGCTATATGGCCATGTCCTGGAAGCATTCTCTCCTGACGTTTCACCTCCATCTATGGCAAGCATCCTCTGAGGTTGTGACCTCACAACCTCTGAGGATGCTTGCCATAGATGGAGGTGAAACATCAGGAAAGAATGCTTCTAGGACATGGCCATATAGCCTGAAAAACCTACAACAACCCAGTGATTGCAGCCATGAAAGCCTTCGACAGTACAACTGTAACTTTGCTACTGTTATGAATTGTACTGTAAATATCTGATCTGCAGGATGTATTTTCATTCACAGGACCTAATTTGGCACAAATACCCGATATGCCCAAATTGGAGTACTAGTGGGGTTGATTTTATCATTTGGGAGTTGTAGTTGCTAATACGACCTTCTCCTGTTGTGCCAATATATCCGACTGTTCCTAAAGCCTGTATACTTTAATATGTATTTTGTAGAAAAATGTTTTAATATGTGTATTTTATAGAATATTTTTGACGATTATGTGGTTTTAGCAATGTCTCAATCTGCCTCAAATCATGAGGAGAGGCGGATAAGAAATAAAATAATAATAATAATTATAATTATTATTATTCTGACACCAAAACACATTATGTCACAGCAAATGAGATCTATGTGTTGGATTTCGTATAACAAAATCATTATTTATTATTATTTACAGTATTTATATTCCGCCCTTCAGGGGACTCAGGGCGGATTACAATGTACATATAAAATGGCAAACATTCAATGCCATAGACACACAACATATATAGACAGACACTCAGAGTCTATTTAACATTCAAGCTTTTCTTGAGGGTATTCTGGCCACCAGGGGAGCTGTCGCTTCACCATCCATTTGTGACACTGATGAAGTACTTCCTCATACTTTGCATTCTTGCCGGAGATTTTTAGGGTGTTGTAAATTAGTTAAATTTGCCTCCTCACATAAGTGGTACCTAAATTTCCTGCTTGACAGATGCAACTGTCTTTCAGGCTGCAAAGGTCGACAGCAAGCTGCACAAAATTGGTCGGAAGCTCACTCCGACTTGGGCTGGTTTTGAACTCATGACCTTTTGGTCAGTAGTGATCTTAAAAATCACAAGTCGGACCCTTCCCAAACATCTAGTTCTGTGTGATGTATTTTCGAATGATGCGCGCAGTTCCAAGTCAGGTGGCCTTTTGCAGTTGACAGATCGGGATTTTGTCGATGTTTGTTGTTTCAAAATGCCGGCTGAGATCTTTTGGCATGGCACCCAGTGTGCCAGTGACCACTGGGACCACCTGGACTGGTTTATGACATCAGAGCCTTTGCAGTTCGATTTTGAGGTCCTAATAGCGGCTAAGTTTTTCCTGTTGTTTTTCCGCAATGCGACTGTCACCCGGTATGGCAACATCCATCATCCAGACTTTTTTCTTTTCCACAATCGTGATGTCTGGTGTATTGTGTTCCAAAACTTTGTCAGTCTGGATTCGAAAATCCCACAGTATTTTTGCATGTTCATTTTCCACGACCTTTGCGAGTTTATGATCCCCCCAATTCTTTGCTGCTGGCAGGTGGTCCTTGTGACATAAGTTCCAGTGAATCATCTGAGCCACAGAGTTGTGCCTCTGTTTGTAGTCCATCTGTGCAATTTTCTTGCAACAGCTGAGAAGATGATCCATCGTTTCATCAGCTTCCTTGCACAGTCTGCATATTATTATTATTATCATTATCATCACCATTATTATTATTATCATTATTATTATTATTATTGGGTTGCTGTGGGTTTTCCGGGATTCTACAGAAGCATTCTCTCCTGACGTTTCGCCCACAGCTATGGCAAGCATCCTCAGAGATTGAGGGGTCTGTTGGAAACTAGGCGAGTAGGGTTTATATATCTGTGGAATGTCCAGGTTGGGGAAAGAACTCTTGTCTGCTTGAGGCAAGTGTGAATGTTGCCATTGCCCAGCTTGTTTAGCATGTAATAGCTTTGCAGCTTCAAAGGCTTGCTGTTTCCTGCCCGGGGGAATCATATATATATATATATAATTTTACTTGATACATCCTGTCAATTAACAAACTTTTGCTATTGTCCACCTTGATTAGCATTGAATGGCATTGTGCCTTCAAAGCCTGGCTGCTTCCTGCCTGGGGGGATCCTTGATTGGGAGGTGTTAGCTGGCCTTCGATAAGACAACAAACCTCACAACCTCTGAGAATGTGTGCCATAGATGTGGGTGAAACGTCAGGAGATAATGCTTCTGGAACATGGCCAGACAGCCTGGAAAACTTACAGCAATCCATTGTTTTTGTTGTCGTCCTTATATTCTGAAATTGTTTTCATTGCATTTCACCAGGAGATCTTATGGGAAAGTGCAGGGTAAAAATGTTGGAAAGGAATGAATGGATGTGATAAAAGAAGTGCGTCATAATTTGACCCGCCTTCCTTTGCTTTCTTCCCCGATCCCTGCTCTTTTGCAGCACGAAACCAATGCACGAGAAAGCCGGGCCGATGCACAGCCTGGAGAAGCTGGAGGCGCTGCACAAAGAGAAGAGCCTGGATTCCCCGAATGGCAAGTGAGTGCGCTTCCCTTTGCATCGCAAAGGACTGAGATCCTGGAGCAAAAAGGTCCAAAGCTGGCTGAGGTTGACTTCAGGTGAATTCCTCGAAGAAGGGAAGTCTTGCCATCGTGTTTTCGGGCGCTCCAGAGACCAGTGCATTCAAACCACAAGCAAAGAGACTCATGTGTGGAGTCATCAAATGAGTCTACACCAAGCATGGGCCAACATTGGCCCTGCAGGTGTTTTGGACTTCAACTCCCACCATTCCTAATAGCCTCAGGCCCTTTCCTTTTCCCCCTCAGCCGCTGAAGGGAGGGGAAAGGAAGGGGCCTGAGGCTGTTAGGAAATGTGGGAGTTGAAGTCCAAAACACCAGGGCTAGTTGGCCATGCCTCTGACAATGATTATATATATATATATATATATATATATATATATATATATGCATCCATACATTGCGGTTTTTCACTTATCACAGGTGGTCCTGGAACGTAACCCCCGCAATAAGTGAAAAACTATCTTGTTTCAGGAACCTTTCTTGGACTATTTCTCTTTGGATTATTTGTTCCTGTTTCTTTTTACACAGTTGGATTACCTTTTACTGTGGATTACTTTTTATTGCTTTGGCTTTTTGTTATCCTCAATAAACTGCTTGCTATTTTAACCCATCTGTGTAGTGTTTAAAGTCAGAGCGGATCCTGATGTGAGAGATACCTCTGTTTATTATTATTATTATTTATTTACATTTTTATCTCACTCTTCTCACCCCCACAGGGGGACTCGGAGTGGCTAACAATGGCAACGATTCCGCAATAATTACAAGTATAATAACAAGATAAAAACATACAATACAATAAATTAAAACAACATTAAGTTCTTGTGTGGTTTTTTTTGGGCTATATGGCCATGTTCTAGAGGCATTTCTCCTGACGTTTCGCCTGCATCTATGGCAAGCATCCTCAGAGGTGAGTTCACCTCACCTCTGAGGATGCTTGCCATAGATGCAGGCGAAACGTCAGGAGAAAATGCCTCTAGAACATGGCCATATAGCCCGGAAAAAACCCACAACAACTAGTGATTCCAGCCATGAAAGCCTTCGACAATACATAAAACAACATTAGTTAAACAGTCATAAAGCCTTTTCCATTACAACAATCATATCGTCTGATTCAATGTTCAGGAGCCGTTATATCCACGTCTGATTCAATGTTCAGGAGCCGTTATATCCATTAGCCAAAAGCCTGGTTCCACAACCACGTCTTCAGTTTTCTTCTGAAAGAAAGGAGGGAGGGTGCCGATCTGATTTCGCTGGGGAGTGAATTCCACAGGCGGGGGGCCACCATCGAGAAGGCCCTGTCCCTCATCCCCTACCAGCCGTGTTTGCGAAGCTGGTGGGACTGAGAGCAGGGCCTCCCCGGCAGATCTTAGACTACGAGGTGGAATGTAGAGGGAGATACGTTCAGACAAGTAAGCTGGGCCGGAGTCGTATATGTACTGACATTGAATATTTGCCATATATGTGTGCTGTAATGCCCTAAGTTCCCTCCAGCAGATATAGCGGAATATAAATAAAGTATATTATTATTATTATTATTATTATTATTATTATTATTATTATTATTATTATTTTATACTGAGGAGGGGGCAAGTTCATTTTCTGCTGCTCTGGAGAGTAGGACTCAGTTGAGCAAAGGGGTTGAAATGTGTGCTGATTTGCCCTTCAAAAACAGCCTTTATACAATGTTGAAAGTAAAAGAAAAATGCTTTACTTTAGCAAACACAAGGGATAATCAAAGGCAGTTGAAAAATGCAAACGAAAGCAAAGAAGTAATATAATCATAGAATCCTAGTTGGAAAAGAACTCGTGGGCCATCCAGTCCAACCCCCTGCCAAGAAGCAGGAATATTGCATTCAAAGCACTCCTGACAGATGGCCATCCAGCCTTTGTTTAAAAGCTTTCAAAGAAGGAGCCTCCACCACACTCCGGGGCAGAGAGTTCCACTGCTGAACGGCTCTCACAGTCAGCTCTCACACACACATATATGTGTGTGTGTGCAAAATGACAAGGTCAGAAAAAGTTATTTGCTCTAAGGCATCAAGAATGCAGAAGCAGTTGTAAAACGGAGGATGACAACAGTCAGGAAGTTCTTCCTAATGTTCAGATGGAATCTCCTTTCTTTTAGTTTGAAGCCATTGTTCCGCGTCCTAGTCTCCAGGGAAGCAGAAAACAAGCTTGCTCCCTCCTCCCTGTGATTTCCTCTCACATATTTATACCTGGCCTTTATCATGTCTCCTCTCAGCATTCTCTTCTTCAGGCTAAACATTCTCAGCTCTTTCAGCCGCTCCTCACAGGGCTTGTTCTCCAGACCCTTGATCATTTTAGTCGCCCTCCTCTGGACACATTCCAGCTTGTCAATATCTCTCTTCAATTGTGGTGCCCGAGAACTAGACACAATATTCCAGGTGTGGTCTAATGCAGACACAAAATTAAAGTCTCTCATAAAGTCCCAAAAGATTCAGCAGTCTTACATCAGACAAGGGGCAATGAACTAAATCCTCAGAAGCAGACTTGAAGCAGGTTCCATTGGAGTGAAAACATCAGCATCAGAGTCGTTGTTACCAGCAAAAGATGACTGCTTCTGCTTCCAATTTATAAGTGTCTCCCAATTAGCTCAGCGTTTCTAGCAGCTATTCTAGTTGAACGCCGTCTGTGCTCTGTCTCCTTTTGCCTCTCCAGAAATATGGGCACTTGCAAGCCCTCATCATCTGATTCCTCTTCCAATTCCTGAGCACTTCCTTCTCCCCTTCCTCTTCTGAAGAAGAGGAATCCCTAACAAAATGACAGGAAAAGAGATTCCACTTAAATATCAGGAAGAGCTTCCAGATTGGAATGATGTGTTCTCCTTCCCTGGAGGCTTTTTAATAGAGGCTGGATGGCCATCTGTCAGGAGTGCTTTGAGGGTGTTTTCCTGACTGGCAAAAGGGGGTTGGATTGGATGGCCCAACTTTAGGATTCTCCTAAACTTTTGGATTCTCCTAAAGAAGATATCCCTCCCAAGGAACGTCTCTTTTTGTCTTGCAGCCTGCACTTGAATGATGCCGTCAAGGACGAAGAGCTCAAGAAGTGTCACAGAGAAGTGGTGGTGAGTCTGGGAGAAGCCATTCGTGTTGTTGGCCTCAGGAATATTCTTGGGAAATTAGTTTTGGGAAAGTCCTATTTTACTCTAGAGCAGGCATGGGCAAACTCTGGCCATCCAGGTGTTTTGGACTTCAACTCCCACAATTACTAACAGCCTACCGGCTGTTAGGAATTGTGGGAGTTGAAGTCCAAAACGCCTGGACAGCCAGAGTTTGCCCATGCCTGCTCTAGAATAATTTCCTTCCCAGTATTTTGGACTACAAATCCCACCATCCCCAACTACAGTGGGAACTGTAGTTCTGCCTCAATATGTCCTGTTCGTGTCTATATCTCTCCTGACCTTTTCAATGTTATTTTCTTCAACCAGATCTTGTGACCTTTGTGAAAACAAAGACCTTCCCTGTTGTCGGCTTGTTGCTTTGGAAATCGCTCCGATAATAATCCCTGACTTCCTTCTGCCTCTTTCATTTCTAGGCTCCAAACAAATACAACTCTCAGTATCACAAGTTATTTAAGGATATCCCCACGGAAGAAAGTGTGTTGAAAGGTGAGTGGGAGAGGGACAACCTTGGAGAAGAGGAGACCTTGCTCTTAGACCTTGTCTGTTGTGGTGGTTTTCAGCTCTTTTGACGCACAACGCAAGGTTTCGGCTCCCAGAAACCATGGTCATTCATCGTCGTGACAAATGTTCAAAACACCAAGGAAGCCATAATAATAATATTACAACATATATTAATATTAATATAATTATTATATTATATTATTATATAATAATAATATTACAGCATATATTAATATAAATATAATTATTATATTATAATATAATAATATAATATATAATAATATAACACACAAAAGTATATAAATATAATATATTCTATTATAACATATATAATAGAATCTATAATAATATTATATAGTAATAATAATATTACAACATATATTAATATTAATATAATTATTTTATTATATATTATAATATATAATAATGTAACACACAAAAGTATATAAATATATATTCTATTATAACATATATAATAGAATCATTATAATATAATATAATCATTATTCTAATATAATAATACAACAAACACATATATAAATATAAATATAATATAACACATATAATCATAATATAATATAATGTAATATAATAATTATTCTAATATAATATAATTATAATAATATAATAAAAAGGTAAAGGTTTTATAACTATAAGTTACTATAAGTCAGACACAACTAGACTTATAGTTGTGTCCGACTCTGGGGGGTGGTGGTCATTTCTGTTTCTAAGCCGAAGAGCCGGCATTGTCCATAGACACCTCCTAAGTCATGTGGCCAGCATGACTGCTTGGAGTGCTGTTACCTTCCCGCAGAAGCGGTACCTATTTGATCTACTCATATGTGCATGTTTTCAAACTGCTAGGTAAGCAGAAGCTGGGGCTAACAGCAGGAGCTCATCCCGCTTTCCAGATTTGAACCACCAACCTTTTGGTTGCTCAGCGGTTTAACCCACTATGCCACCAGGGGGCCTCAATAATATAATATAAAAATATAATATAATATTATACACTATATAATAATATAGCACACACATATGTGTGTTATAATATCATTATACATTATATTAATAATATAATAATATTACACACACATATAAATATAATATATTATATTATAACATATTTAATATAATAAATTACTATGGACTGTGATTTCGAGGCTATGATTTGTTTTTAATAGCTTATTTAAATGTATTTAAATGCACAATGTAATTTGTATGCTTTTTAATGTCTTAATGCGATATTGAATTATGGTCAGTTTGGAAGCCGCTCTGAAATAGAGCAGGATAAAAATAAAATAAATAAATGGTTGAGAGCTGCTGTTGCCTAGTAAATAAAAATTCCTGCATAAAACCTCCATTCAGTCCCTAATGTCTAATATTGCTGCAACTCAGAACTTTGGTCGAACTTTTGAAAATACAGCTAGGCACCTCTTCATTTACTTGCAGTCCTTCCTTACATTCTATAAGTTGCTTTGGGTTGCTCTTTTTCTATGAAAATCAGGCCAATATCCCTCCTGCTGAGTTGAATGTATTTTTGCTGGTCTTCCCAGTGTGTTCCTGTGCCCTCCAGAGAGACATTCTTATCCAAGGCCGGCTCTACATTTCCCCCAACTGGCTCTGCTTCTATGCAAACCTTTTTGGGAAAGATATCAAGGTCAGTATCATTGTGTATTATTTTTGAGATGCTTGCACTCACCTGAGGCATTGACTGCTTGACTTTTTGTATGTGCAACACACCCTGAGACCCTTCGAGGAGAGAGGGCGGTCCAGAAATAAAGTATTATTATTATTATTATTATTTAGTAGTAGTAGTAGTAGTAGTAGTAGTAGATAGTATCTGATCTTTATCTGATCTTTTTCATGGAACTAAGTGTTCATTTGTAAGGACTGGGTAAAGGATTGTAGGAGAGACTAGAATTATTTCCTTCCTTCCATCCATCTTTCCTTCCTTCGTTTGTTAGTGCCTTCTTTTATTAGTAGTAGTAGTAGTAGTAATAGTAGTAGTAGATAGTATCTGATCTTTATCTGATCTTTTTCATGGAACTAAGTGTTCATTTGTAAGGACTGGGTAAAGGATTGTAGGAGAGACTAGAATTATTTCCTTCCTTCCATCCATCTTTCCTTCCTTCGTTTGTTAGTGCCTTCTTTTATTAGTAGTAGTAGTAGTAGTAATAGTAGTAGTAGATAGTATCTGATCTTTATCTGATCTTTTTCATGGAACTAAGTGTTCATTTGTAAGGACTGGGTAAAGGATTGTAGGAGAGACTAGAATTATTTCCTTCCTTCCATCCATCTTTCCTTCCTTCGTTTGTTAGTGCCTTCTTTCCTGCCTTCCTTCCTTCCTTCCTTCCTTCCTTCCTTCCTTCCTTCCATCCATCCATCCTTCTTTATTTATTTATTTTCTTTCTTCCTTCCCTCTTTTCCTTCCTTCCTTCCTTCCTTCCATCTACATCCATCCATCCATCCTTCCTTCCTTCTTTCCTTCCTTCCTTCCTTCCATCCATCCATCCATCCATCCATCCATCCATCCATCCATCCTTCTTCCAGCTTGCCTCTCTTCCTTCCTTCCTTCTTTCCTTCCTTCCTTCATTTGTTCCTTCCATCCATCCATCCATCCATCCATCCTTCCTTCCATCCATCCATCCATCCATCCATCCATCCATCCATCCTTCTTCCAGCTTGCCTCCCTTCCTTCTTTCCTTCCTTCCTTCTTTCCTTCCTTCTTTCCTTCCTTCCTTTTCCTTCCTTCTTCCTTTTCTTCCTTCCTTTCATTCCTTCTCTCCTCATTTCCTTCCTCTTTTCTTCTCCCTTCCTTCTTCCTTTTTCCCTTCCTCCCTTCCTCCTTTCCTCCCTTCCTTCCTTCCTTCCTTCCTTCCTTCCTTCCTTCCTTCCTTCCTTCCTTCCTTCCTTCCTTCCTTTTTGTGGGAGCTGAAGTCCCAAACCCCTCAAGCTGCACTCAAGGGCTGGGAAGCATCCGGCCATGGGTAATGGCTTCATAAATGAGTTAAATAATGAATTACTTTCATCTAGTAACTTTCCAAGCACAGCTATTTCCCGTAAAAGCCCTTCAAGGCAGCTCATGGCAACAAGAATCTAGAGTGACTTTAAGACTCACAGACGAACTGCTGCGGAAAGGTTGGATTGCCGGAGGTGCAAAAACAACCCTTGCCTAAGATGCTGGAGAGACTCAAAGTGTCAGGTCTTTGCTTCCTAAAGACACTCCGGTTTCTAGAAACCAGTGTTTGCTGTTTCTCTTCCTTCTTAAATCATCAAAGCAAACTTCTCCACGGACAAGGCCACTCTGGGTGGGAAACGAGGGCGGGATTGGGTGCAGTCAGGGTCCCCCCACCCTCCTGCCTTGATTTACAGTTTTGAGGTTATCCAGTAAACACTCCCGCGGACGGGAACGTGCTTCCATATATAGAGCACACTTCCTTAAAACGGTGCCAAAAGCCTGAATTATTTATATCGGCAGCGCTACCTACTTAAATAAACATCACACAAGAAGAATGCGGGAGTTCCAGCCCCCGAAACTCACTCCATCTCGCCTTGCTTTGGGATTTGTTTTTAATTGAACTTGTGGCTGTTCCTTTGCTGACATTGAGGGCCCTCCTTCCAAACTACATCTCCCACCATGGTGGGTCAGTCCCCTCAAAGCCCTCCAAGAGGTTCAGTTGGTCATAGGGGTTCTGTGTGTCAAATTTGGTCCAGATCCATCATCGATGGTGGTCACAATGTGTCTGGATGTAAGTGAACTACAACTCCCAAAAATGAAGATCAGTTCTTCCCAAACCCCTCCACTTTTTTCAATTGGCCATGTGGGTTCTGTGTCAAGATTGATTCAGGTCCATTGTTGGTGGGGACTACGGTTTCTCTGGTTATAGGTGAACTACTACTCCCAAACCTCAAGGTCAATCTCTCCCAAATCCCTCCAGTAATCAAATTTGGGTGTATAAGATGTGCGTGCCAAGTTTGGTCCAGATCCACCGTCTTTTGGATCTCTGGTTATAGGTGAACTACAACTCCCAAACCTCAAGGTCAATCTCTCCCAAATCCCTCCAGTAATCAAATTTGGGTGTATCAGGTGTGCATGCCAGGTTTGGTCCAGATCCATCATCTTTTGGATCTTTGGTTATAGGTGAACTACAACTCCCAAACCTCAAGGTCAATATCTCCCAAATCCCTCCAGTAATCAAATTTGGGTGTATCAGGTGTGCATGCCAGGTTTGGTCCAGATCCATCATCTTTTGGATATTTGGTTATAGGTGAACTACAACTCCCAAACCTCAATATCTCCCAAATCCCTCCAGTAATCAAATTTGGGTGTATCAGGTGTGCGTGCCAGGTTTGGTCCAGATCCATCATCTTTTGGATCTCTGGTTATAGGTGAACTACAACTCCCAAACCTCAGGGTCAATCTCTCCCAAATCCTTCCAGTAATCAAATTTGGGTGTATCAGGTGTGCGTGCCAAGTTTGGTCCAGATCCATCGTCTTTTGGATCTCTGGTTATAGGTGAACTACAACTCCCAAACCTCAAGGTCAATCTCTCCCAAATCCCTCCAGTAATCAAATTTGGGTGTATCAGGTGTGCGTGCCAAGTTTGGTCCAGATCCATCGTCTTTTGGGTTCACAGTGCTCTTCGGATGTAGGTGAACTACAACTCCTATAAATCCACCCAAAGACCACCAGTATTTGTTGGTCATGAGGATTCTGTGCACCAAGTTAGTTGCAGGTCCATCGTTGGTGGGGTTCGGAGTGTCACCCATTTACACAAATCTGTTGGCAACAATGTGCAGCGTTTGCAGTGGACTCTGCAGAAAACGCTTCAGCTGAATTCCACAAAATGGAACACCAACCCATTCAGCAAGCCTTGCAAATGTTTTCAGTGTCAACAAATGTTTGATTTATATTCCTATTTCCTATACCTATGTACCTGGGGTCATATAGACATTTCTTGGTGGAAAAGGGCGCAAGCAGGAAAAGTTTAAGGTGCCCTGGATCAGATAATAAAATTCAGTTGTGTTTAAGCAGCAGTCTTCAGTTAGCTTGCTTCGAGTGGCTTACTTCCAAAGTAAATATAGTTACAGTTATAGGTATTCCTTCTGTCAGAAATATTAAAAATTATCTAGGTATTTTAAGTACAAAAATGTGAGTCAAGCACTGGATGCAATGACTCAGCAAAAGCTGCAATTCAACACAAGCAGGTGTGCCTCTAGCTTACTAGCCCTCAGTCTGTGAGAGGTCTCTGTGGAAGAAGGGCCTCAGTGTGTTAGAAGGCCTCAGTTTGAAAAGGCCTCAGTGTTAGTTTGCCTCAGTGAGTGAAAGGTATCAGTCTGAGAGAGCCCTCAGTGGGAGAAAGGCCTCAGTGTAAGATAGGCCTCAGTTTTAGTAGTTGGTGTAAGAAGCTTCAGTGAGAGAAGCCCATCGTATGTGAAGCTGTCTACAGACGTCGCCTGCAACTCCTGGAACAATTCTATCAGTGCTGCCTCCAGAAAATCCTGCAGATCTCTTGGGAAGACAAGCGGACAAATGTCAGCGTGCTGGAAGAAGCAAAGACCACCAGCATTGAAGCGATGGTCCTCTGCCATCAACTGGGCCGGCCACGTTGTCCGGATGCCTGACCACCGTCTCCCAAAGCAGTTGCTCTACTCTGAACTTAAGAACGGAAAACGGAACGTTGGTGGGCAGGAAAAGAGATTTAAAGATGGTCTCAAAGCCAAACTTAAAATCTCTGGCATAGACTCTGAGAACTGGGAAGCCCTGGCCCTTGAGCGCTCCAGCTGTAGGTCAGCTGTGAGCAGCAGTGCTGCAGAATTCGAGAAGGCACGAATGGAGGGTGAAAGAGAGAAATGTGCCAGGAGGAAGGCGCGTCAAGCCAACCCTGACCGGGACCGCCTTCCACCTGGAAACCAATGCCTTCACTGTGGGAGAAGATGCAAGTCAAGAATAGGGCTCCACAGCCACCTACGAATCCACAAGGAAACCCATCTTACTCGTCCAATGAGGGATCGCCTAAGTAAGTAAGTAAGTAAGTATGTGAAGCTTCAGTGTGAAGGCTGCTATGTATAAAGCTACTTCAGTGTGAGAAGAGACTCTGAGAGTGAAGCTGTTTATCTGCAAGAGAAAGAAGCCCAGCGTGGAAGCAAAGAAGGAAGTATAAAGGACTTCGTTCATGTTGTAAATAGTGCAACCATATTATTTTGCTATAAAGAAAAGCTTCCTATGGAAGAGATAACATTGGTCTGTGTGTTTTTGTTCTTTTTATCATTTTGGATTGCTATTGCTGAGTCACGCTGCTGCTAATAAGTTACTCTGCTGTACATTTATAAGGAGGGTCTTTGGTAAATAAGCCCACTCACTCAATACCTTCTGCAGATGGAAATTGTGATTGTTGTATCCAAATATATCATTCTGACTACTTCCCTGCCCCTGTTTAAATACATCTCAGAACCATATCTTTTATTTTTCTCCATTTCAGGTTGTTATTCCCGTTGTCTCCGTTCAGCTAATAAAAAAGCACAAAACAGCCCGGCTACTACCAAACGGATTGGCTATTACGACAAATGCCAGCAGGAAGGTAAGTTATGCCAGACACTTCCTTGTCTGTTCTATGTTACCTATGAGAACCCAGCCCTCAATGGAGAGAAAGTGGGGAACTGTATGCAGATGATCAGTAAAGAATAAAGTGTTTACTCTTTGTTATGCAGAGCAACACATATACAGTCATGTGAACAGTTGCACTGATTCACACAATATCTTTTGAGAGAGGTTCAAATAGTCCTTAGGTGTTCATGTGAAGGATCTTCTTCCAGCAGCCCAGAAGCAGAACATACTGTCTTGGTAAGCTCCCTGCACAGAAGACCTAAACATGTAACTGTTGGTAAGACTCCCAGGCTCAGCTAGCTTCTTGGACCTAGCCCAACCAATCAGCTTTGTGCTTTGCATTTTTCAGTTAACACACTCACCAACTGATTTTTACCTGCTCTTGTCTTTTTTTGGCTTGGAATAGTTACTTTTTTGGACTACCGTTCTCAAAATCCCCCCCCCCCCCGGCACAATGTTATAGTCCAGGCATGGGCAAACTTCGGCCCTCCAGGTGTTTTGGACTTCAATTCCCACAATTCCTAGCACCAAATTTACCAAGCTTTGGTCTTCACATTACTTTCTCCCTTTGAAAAAACAGCTTTAGCACATTTTACTCTCATTTATTTTGGAGTCTCTTGGAACTTGGAAATATTTACAGCCTGAGGTTTGTATCTATTGAAATGGACTCTATTTACAAAAGCTTAGGCCATTCACCTCTGCAAGGTAAATCTCTGAGGTGTCAAGCGGCTTTGTTTATCTTTTGTACACTTGCTGTGTTTACCATGGTCTCCGGCAGTGGATTTTGTGGTCATTCTACCAAATGCGCTTTGTGCCTAGTGATAAATCCTCCTGCATTGTTTGGTATGATCCAATTCTTTTTTTGTCCTTAATGTTGCATTGAAAAGGCTTGTCAGCCATACGGTGGTCATTTATTTTCCTAATCCCGTCTAACCTTTTGTTCCACAAACACAGTCCTCCTTTGAAGGCAGATAATCCTCTTTCTTGCCATTGATATCGCTCTGGCTTTTGCATTTTCCCATCTCTTGCCCCAGAAGCAGGGCATCCAAATCTCTTTGCCCCTTGGTCGACTCCTTCAGCAATGTACACTCCCCACACTTTTTGCTGCTGACTTTGGGGCACACCCTGACCTCTTTTGGGGGGCAAAAGTTGAGCTGGGCAACTGCAGTAGGACTAGTGGTTAATCAGTTTTTAATGATTGATTGATTGATTGATTGATGTTGGGTTGTTTTGGAGTTGGGTGAGTTGTGAATGTATTTATGTTTGCACTAGCCGTCCCCTGCCACACGTTGCTGTGGCCCACATGGCGGTTCTGTGTTGGAGGTTTGGCCCAATTCTGTCGTTGGTGGGGTTCAGAATGCTCTGTGATTGTAGGTGAACTACAAATCCCAACAACTACCACTCCCAATTGTCAAGATTATATTTTTCCCAAACTCCACCAGTGTTCACATTTGGGCATATGGAGTATTCGTGTGGAGTTTGGTCCAGGTCCAGATCCATCATTGTTTGAGTCCACAGTGATCTCTGGATGTAGGTGAACTACAACTCCAAAACCATTGGACACTGCCCACCAAACCCCTTCCAGTATTTTCTGTTGGTCATGGGAGAACTGTGTGCCAAGTTTGGTTCAATTCCATCGTTGGTTAATAATAATAATAGTTGTGCCTTTTTGGGTCTTCTAAGAGCTGCAAAACTGCTCAAAATGCCCCTCAAAATGTGGCTATAAGTATGGGAAAAAGAATTGATTTGAAATAGTGTGTGGGTCTCTACAATCTATTTGGAATGGTTTTTGGAGATTTCAAGGAGAGATCATTCATGGGGAGAGGAAGAAAGACATGAAAACAACATTAGAAGGTCACATGCTCTTAAGCAGCTGAGGGAGGAAAGGAAGGGGACTGGGGCTGTTAGGAATTGTGGAAGTCCAAAACACATGGAAGGCTGAAGTTTGCCCATGCCTTCTGTTAACAAATTTATGTCAATGCCTAAAACAGCCACTAGGTAGAATTCGGAAACCTTTTAGTGTTGCTGATTTTTGGCGACCCCCATTTTCTTTCATGGAACCCAGTTGTGAATTCATTAGAGGAATGGAAGTGGACGAATGAGAAGATGTATTTTGTTTCACCAGGAGGAACTTTATGGCATGACTTCCTGATCTAAAGCTACAAGATCATATATAGAGGTCAGACCAGTGAGGCCAGGAGAGGAGGGAATACTGGAATTGCATTTCTCTTTCTGGAAGTCCCAGATCCTCATAATAGTTATTTCTGGGAACAGCCTGACCTATTTTTAAAAACTCATCCCTTGTTGTGGTTTGTGATTTGGGGTAAATTACAACAAGACCATTGCAGGGGAGCTGCTTGGCAGCTGGAGGGCGGGAAGAGAAAGTCAGCAACCTCTAGTGGAAACTCAAGGAGGGATCTAAACGGAATGCGGCTTTTTGCGCTAATTGTTTGCACAACAGATAAAAGTGTTTTGGCTTTTGGGTTCCTGTCTGGTGCATTGCCTTGCCATGGTCTTCCTGAAACTGAAACCCACAAAATGTTCCCGAGTCAGGCATGGTTTCTATTCCAAACCACCCGCAGAGATGAGAAGGAAATCATTGCCTTGTGTGTGTTGCGTAGGAAGTGGATTCCGGCCCCATTGGCTCAAAACTTTACTTTTGGAGCACTAGGTTGATTTGGACCCTGTATGAGGTCAGAGGAGGAAGATATTCCTGGGTGGCCTAATAAACTGGGGGAGTTCTGCTACAGCAGCGGTTCTCAACCTGTGGGTCGCAACCCCTTTGGGGTTCGAATGACCCTATCACAGGGTCTCGCCTAAGACCATTGGAAAACACATATTTCCGATGGTCTTAGAAATTGAGACACTGCTAACTTGCTTCCCAGAGACAGTTGGTGACATCTCTCAGTCCCACCTTCTCCAACCACACCATCATTTTGCGAGGAAGAAAAGGGAGTGATAGAGGCAAGGTTTTTTTTCAAGCCAAGAGGGAAGAGGAAGGAGAAGGAGAAGGAAGTGGTGGTAGAGGAGGTGGTGGAAGTTAGAAGAGAGAAGGGAGAAAGTGAGGAAGGGTGGGCCTAGGGAGGAGAGCCTGCGGGGGAGGGCAGGGCTTTGAGAGGGGTAGAGTGGCCTCTCTATGGCCGAATCCCAGGGAAAAAGAGAAGTAACAATCAAAATCCATCCTGCATATCAGATATTTACATTACGATTCATAACAGTAGCAAAATTATAGTTAGGAAGTAGCAACGGAAATAATTTTATGGTTGGAGGTCACCACAACATGAGGAATGGTATTAAAGGGTCACAGCATTAGGAAAGCTGAGAACCACTGTGCTACAGGTTTACCATCTGCCTTTGAATGCTGAAGTAATAGGCCAGTTCCTGAGTGTAAACATGGCCATTGACCCTTCTCCAGCCTTTGTGTTCAGACTTTGCAGCCTGGGCTTTGGTTCCTCACGTTTGCTTTGTTTCACTTCCAGTACATCTTCGTTTCCCTGATCTCTAGAGACAGCGTCTACGATGTTCTGCGAAGGGTCTGCACACACTTGCAGGTACTTTCTCCTTCTCTCCTTTCAAACATATTCATTGGTTATATAAAAATAAAACAAACCATAAACCCGTCTCAATAAATGCCCAGAAGAGCAATTATTTTTCAACTCTTGTTGATTTTCACAAAGCTGGGTTTTAACTTCAACTGGGATCATTATCTGCACAGCCTCTCCTCCATCCACTGCTGCAAAATCCATATAAGACCATAAAAACAGTCCAGTTCTTTCAGTAGAGATCGGGTCTTGGCGATAAGAGAGCCAGCCTCTTAGGAGCCAGCGTTTGGGCCGCGCAAGGCTTTGGGCCAAGGCTTGATAGTTTAACTGGGCAACCAGCATCGTAAAAGCCTTTGGATGAATCTGAAATACATTTTGTTCCTTGTTGGGTGGAGAGGGGGGGGAGGCGGGTGGGCAGGAGGACATGGGTGGAACGTTTCTTCCAAGCTCTTGTCTATTTCTCCGTTGGCCGCTCTCCCAAATGGGCACGCGGCCATTTCCTCGCCACATGACCAGTAATTGAAGGGCACGTCTTAGATAACTCTGATCACAAGCTTCGGACAAGTTGCAGAGTGGTGTTGACTTTGCTGAGAGAGGAAGAAGATGCCTTCCTTGGGGTTCTGCCATGCTACTTTCTTGGGATACAGTTCCGCCTTTCAAGACCCAAAACACATCAGTGTGTGGACACGCGTTGAAATGGCACCTTTTTCCTAGTTCCCATTTATCCTGGTGTGGTTCTTCAATGCCCATGTGAACCCCTCTCTTTTTAAATATGTTTTTCAAATATTTAAATATAGCCAGCCCTCCATATCCACAGATTCTTCATCCACAAATTTCATCATCCATAACTTGAATACACACACACACACACCAGCTGTCTCCTGCCATGCGTTGCTGTGGCCCAGTCTGTGTATATGTGTTTTGTGTGTGTATATATTTGTGTATATGTGTATTTATGTGGTTATGAACATGTGTTGTAATGCAATGTTTGTTTTTTGGCTTTTTGATGGTCACTCGTTGGCCTGATAGGTGTCTTGTGTCCAAATTTGGTGTCAATTCGCCCAGTGGTTTTTGAGTTATCTTAATCCCACAAACGAGCATTCTAGGATATATGGTACACACACACACACAAACACACATACACATATTATTCCTAAAGGTAAAGGTAAAGGTTTTCCCCTGACATTAAGTCTACTCGTGTCCGACTCTGCGGGTTGGTGCTCATCTCTATTTCTAAGCCGAAGAGCCGGCGTTGTCCATAGACACCTATGAAGTCATGGCCGGCATGACTTCATGGAGTGCTGTTACCTGCCCACCGGAGTGGTACCTATTGATCTACTCACATTTGCATGTTTTTGAACTGCTAGGTTGGCAGAAGCTGGAGCTAACAGCGGGAGCTCACTCCACTCTCTGGATTCGAACCGCTGACCTTTTGGTCAGCAAGTTCAGCAGCTCAGCAGTGTAACCTGCTGCTCCACCGGGGGCTCCCTATTCCTATATAGCATGAAATGAATTATCTAAAACGGTAACTATATCAAATGACTTTTGGGTCCTGGAACTTCCAGATGTTTGTTCCCAGAATCCCTGGTCATTGGCCAAGGCACTTGGGGTTTACGAAATTTGAAGCCCAAACCATGTGGAGGAATAGCATTTGAGAATCTCTGGGTTACAGACAAACTTCAGGTGTTGGATGTAATAAAGGATGGCGTTTTCGACAATGACTTTGTGTTAACCCTATAATGCTTGAAAGATGCATCCTTAGTTGTGCCGTGGCCTGGAGGACATGGTGCTTCCGTGACTTCTCTCTTCTTTGACCCTTTGGCAGGTCTCCAGCAAAAAGAGCCTGAGCTTGAAAGAACTGACGGAAGAGCCAGATGCCGTGGCACTGGTAAGGCCATGCTTTCGGGAAGCAACCCCGTTTCCCTTGTTTAGTAAGACACGGAAATATCGGTGGCAGTGGTTGCATACTGTTGATGAAGCCTGGTTTGAGTTAATCATGACTCAGGACGTAACAGCAAAACTGTGGTTAATGTCGCAAAGGTAAGGGAGGAAGAAGAAACATGGGAACCTATGGAACACGCCACTGTTTGAACTAGGGCTCTAATCAGAGAATATCAGCATTAAGCTGAGCTTCTGTCTTCAGCTAACTGCACTTCTTCAAGGCACTAAAACGCAGCCTCCTTCCTATTTCCTTGTTTTTCAGTTCTATTCCATTGTAGTACTTCCTGCCCGATTAGATTGACACTCCAGGTCTCTTTTGTCTCTGCTAGGCATGCATTTAAAGGTATAGTGTTCCCTCGCTACTTTGTGGTTCGCTTATTGCAAACTCGCTGTTACACGGGGAGCAGTGAGGGAACACTGTGTAGCTGCTCCCCGTTCCTTCCCCACCAGGCTGGGCACCCTGTTCCATCCTCACCAGGCTCAGCACCCAGTTCCTTCCCTGCCAGGCTGGGCACCCCGTTCCTTCCTCGCCAGGCTGGGCACTCAGTTTCATCCTCTCCAGGCTGGGCTCCCCGTTCTATCCTTCCCAGGCTGGGCACCCCGTTTCATCCTCGCCAAGCTGGGCACCGCATTTTATCCTCATCAGGCTGGGCACCCCGTTCCTTCCCTGCCAGGCTGGGCACCCAATTCTATCCTCGCCAGGCTGGACATTCTGTTCCTTCTCTGCCAGGCTGGGCACCCCATTCCATCCTTGCCAGGCTGAGCACCCCATTCCTTCCTCGCCAGGCCTGGCACCCCGTTCTATCCTCGCCAGGCTGGACACCCCATTCCTTCCTCGCCAGGTTGGGCGCCCCGTTCTGTCCTTGCCAGGCTGGGCACCCTGTTCCTTTCTCGCCAGGCTGGGCACCCCATTCCTTCTTCCCCAGGCTGGGCACCCCGTTCCATCCTCGCCAGGCTGGGCACCCTGTTCCTTCCTCGCCAGGCTGGGCACCCCGTTTCATTCTCGCCAAGCTTGGCACCCCATTCTATCCTCGCCAGGCTGGGCACCCCGTTTCATTCTCGCCAAGCTTGGCACCCCATTCTGTCCTCGCCAGGCTGGGCACCCCGTTCAGGGATCTCCAAGGGAAGGGACCTCCGAGGCAGGGAACAGCAGAGGTGGCGAGGAGGAGGCCACCGCGAAGTAGGGATGCCCACTTGAGTGGGCAGAGCATCCCTACTTTGCAGGTTTTCACTTATCGTGGGTGGTGCTGGAACGGAACCCCCACGATAAGTGAGAGAATACTGTATTTATAGCAAAGTAGTGTATTTGCCACTGTTTTATTTGTTTATTTGTATTTATTTGAGTCTAAAGCTGGCATGGGCAAACTTGGGCCCTCCAGGTGTTTTGGACTTCAACTCCCACAATTTCTAACAGCCTAGCGGCTGTTAGGAATTGTGGGAGTTGAAGTCCAAAACACCTGGAGGGCCCAAGTTTGCCCATGCCTGCTTTAGATCTTGATTTGTTTTGCAAGTTGTTCTATGACGCATTGAAAACACTTGGAATAAATCCTGCTGTTCGCTGTTGGGTTGATGCTCCAGTAAAGGTCTCTTGAACTTCCGTTGACGTTCATTCTGTTCCTTCCCCAGGAGGTCATTGTCCCAGAGGTGAAATGGAGGAAGGGCTCTTCGGCATCACTGTCGCTAGCCCTTCCCCTTCCTCTTCCCCTTCCAGAGGCCAGCTTCCAGTGCATCCACCGGGCCTCCATCAGCAGCCTCAGCACCAAGGAGAGCTCTTGTAACTCCGAAGAGCCTCTAATATCAGGTGAGAAGAAACTGAGAGAAGTATTGGGTTGAGTGTTGGGCGTGGACTCCAGAAGACGAGGCTCTGAAACTCCATTCCCACTCTTAGTCATGCTCTGTGATTGGCATTTTGGGTCCTCGGCATATTTTGGGTCCTCGGCATATTCTTCTTGCAGTTGAATGCTCTCGGGATGCTTTTACATAATCATAAGGTAAAGGTAAAGGTTTCCCCTTGACATTAAGTCTAGTCGAGTCCAACTCTGAGGGGTGGTGCTCATCTCAATTTCTAAGCCAAAGAGCTGGTGTTATCCATAGACACCTCCAAGGTCATGTGGCCAGCATGACTGATTGGAGTGCCCTTACCTTCCCGCAGAAGAGGTACCTATTGATCTACTCACATGTGCATGTTTTCGAACTGCTAGGTTGTCAGAAGTTGGGGCTGACAGTGGGAGCTCACCCCGCTCCCTGGATTTGAACTACCAATCTTTCAATCAGCAATTTCAGCAGTTTAACCCACTGCTTAGGTAATCGTAGTAGGATGTAAATATCCAAAGTGTTTCTTGCTCAAGTTTTATAATACAGTGTTCCCTCACTTATCATGGGTGTTACGTTCCAGGACCACCCGCAAAAAGTGAAAATCCGCAAAGTAGGGACGCTATATATCTATATCGTGTTCCAATGGTGAAACAGAAGTGAGGAGAGATTTAAAGGCACCGTGCACTTTTTTTTTGCTAGTTATCTCTGCTTTGCTTTGCAATCTCTCTTGATTGGCTGCCTCATAGAATCATAGAATCACAGAGTTGGAAGAGACCTCATGGGCCATCCAATCCAACCCCCTGCCAAGAAGCAGGAATATTGCATTCAAATCACCCCTGACAGATGGCCATCCAGCCTCTGTTCAAAAGCTTCCAAAGAAGGAGCCTCCACCACTCTCCCCGTTCCACACTCTATCATTGCCAGGAGGCGAGATTAGAACTATTCAAAAACTGGGAGGCAAAAACCCACTGTACTGGTTTTTAACTATACAAGAATGAGCTCATATAGTATTTAATGTAGTATTTTAAGGGTGCATCTCGCCATTGATTTATGTAGCATTTTAATTATTTATATAGTATTTTTATAGTGTATTACATATTGCATTTAATAATCTGGTTTTTATATATTCATTTGTCATATATGTGAAAGGCCTATGGTCTAAGCCAGGCATAGGCAAACTTGGGCCTTTCAGGTGTTTTGGACTTCAACTCCTACAATTCCTAACAGCCTTAGGCCCCTTCCTTTTCCCCCTCAGCTGCTTAAGCGGAAAGGAAAGGAAGAAAAGGGCCTGTTAGGAATGGTGGGAGTTGAAGTCCAAAACACCTGGAGGGCCCGAGTTTGCCCATGCCTGCTCTAGAGCAAACCTATGAAGTTGCACAACCGATTTACGGCATAAACGTGTGATAGGGAAGAAAGTGGAGAAAGGACACCTGCAGGGGCGGTTCAACCCATTATGCAAAGTAAGCATCTGCGGTATAGATTTTTCCCAGGGGTGCTCTTGAGGCGCTCTTGGGGGAAAATAGACCTTGACATATGCGAGTTGTAGTTACTGCGATGTATAGTTCACCTACAATCAAAGAGCATTCTGAACTCCACCAATGATGGCACTGAACCAAATATGGCACACAGAACTCCCACGACGAACAGAAAATATATATCAGTGATTGGTTGGGGGAGGCGCCAAAATACTGTTTGCTCCGCATTGAAAATTACCTAGGGCCGCCTCTGGACACCTGCACACCTAGGTTGATGTTCAACTTGGTGAAGCCACGTTCTTTCATTCTTGTGGAAACAAAGAAGCGGAAGGGACTCCTCCGTTTATGGGATTCCAACCTGAGAGGCGTTCGGTCCAGCCTTGAGGAGCGAGGGCCGCCTCTCAACCCTTTCCATCCCTGGAAACACATTCCTTTGCTGACATTCAACACAATGCCCAAAAATAAACACAGAGATCAAGCCACGAACCAGGAAACCAGTCTAAAAAGACTACCTTTCCCTTTCCAAAGCCAGTTCTCTTTCAGTGTTCCCGAAAGAGCCTCTGTTTGTGTGAGTATCTGAATTTCCTTCCTTCTTTCTCCTAAAATAAGAATGAGGCTTATCTAGGCATCTATCTGTTTGTTTGTTGGACTGTAACTCCCAGCATCCCCCAGAACTGGCCAGGGCTGATGGGAATGGCAATCAAACTGTTGTGAACCAGAAGCCTTAACAGAACCAAAAACAAGTAAAAGGTGCAAACAAAGTTTATTAACAAAATAGCGTAGAAACACTTGAATTCAGTGAGTCTAGCAATAAAACAAAGTCTGCTAGGCAAAAAATGCAACTTGGAGAATAATCCGGATTATGCGGAGATATAATCCGGGATAACAAAAACCTTTCGCAATTTACTTGAAAATAACAGAGTTCACGAAGCACAACAAAGCAAGGTGGGAGCAAGCAAAAATGAAGTCAGGAAACAGTCCAGGGTCAAAACACATCCAAAAGTAATAGTAAAAGTCCAAAACGCGATGTTGTCGTCAAGAAGCAATCCGAAGTCTGCAGGAGTAGAAGTCAGCACTTACAGGATTCCAGACGGATGAGACACAGAAACACAGCGATCTGCAGTCCCAGGACCCAAGGTGACAGTAAAGGCATCAACAAAGTCCCAAGCCTAATACAACACTTTGCCTACTGCAAAGTTCCAATAGTTTGATACCTTACTTTTACCCTATAACTCCTCATCAGAGGTGGAGATGGACTCCACCCTGTTGTCATCGCTCTCAGGTGCTTTCGCTTCCATAGCTGCTCGCCACCCCCCATCCCTCCAGCTTTTCCAGCGTCTATCAAGACTTTGATCACCCCATGTATTTCCAGGTTGCCAGTCTCCCGAGAACCCCTCAAACTCCTCATTTGAGGTGGGTTGGGTACATATGTCCCTGATCTCTTGTACACGGGTCCAATCTAGTCCATCCTCCTCCCCGTCATCACTCCCAGTCCCATCACTCCCTGTAAACCCCATGAAGTCCTCCTCTTCAGTCGGAGCATTAAGTATTTCACGGATCCGCTTCCTTTCCCTCTCTTCATCCAATTCTTGATCCCAAGTAACCCGCTTCAAACCTCTACCTTCCTCTCCCTCCTCCTCCATCTCAGAATCTGTAAACCCTTCGAATGACTCAGTATCTGTAGGTGTCATGAATATTTCCCTAATTTGCTCCCTTTGCTGCTCTTGATCCAACACCTGAGCAGCTCCCTTTGCCCTTCTACTACTTGTTGTAGCTTGCTCAGCACACTCTACTACAACACAAACAGATTAGGAACTCTGGCTTGTCGTTTTAAACAAACCATGTGTTGTACTCCAAGGCTGGGAAACACTTCTGTGCTTAACACACACTCCAGTCCAAGGTAAAATAGCAAAGCGGTTTGCCGATGACTGCCCTAGAGGGTCCATTGCATCCTGAACTATTAATTCTTTGTGTTTTCTTTCATTCCAGAAAGTGGAATAAACACCGAAGAGGAGTTGGAGGTTGAGCCCAGCTACAAAGCGGAATTGAGACCATCTGATTATCAGCTGCTGAAGATCTTCATCGTGTTGTAAGTCTGGGGGCCATGTCTTCCTGACTTTGATTTCCGCCGTCCCTCTTGGCTGTATCTGAAACAGGGCCTGTGAGGAAGCCCAGTAATTCTCAGTATCAACTTAGGAGCTGTTTTATCAAGGGACCACTAATTAAAAGGGGTTTACTTATTTGATAGTGAAGCTGATATTTAAGGTCCCTGATTGACCTTTCTTCTTGTGCAGGCTGTTTGACTTAGAAAAAACTGTATCAGGCAAGGCTTGAGAAAAACAGTAACAAATTTATTTAACAGGAGTATAACAGATTCAATGTTACTTCTCTAGAGGCACAAACTTAGTTGGTTACATTGATAAGGTTTCCTGAATAACTTTAGGTACAAAACAGACTTCAAAAGGTTTCTTTAGGAAGATGTTTCTTTCTTTAAGCAGCGTTCTTTTACTACAAATAAGCCACCTGACTTATTTAACTGTATTGGCTCCAAGCCAAACCTTGATTCTTATTCAAAGAATCAGTCCTTCCTGTGTTCTATCGCCACAGGATTCCTGTTGGATTTCCACTTCCACACAGGATCAACTACCTCTGTAATTACACTAATTACAGATCAGTTCCTGGATCTCTCACTGGAGAATCGTTTCCTGTAACTCTTTTGGTCACAGACTAGTTCCCTGATTCTTCCACTACACATCCAGTCTTCTCTGTAGCTCACCGGCTTACAGACTGCCCACTTTCAAACAGCTGTGCTGTTAAGTGACAGTTGGCTCCGCCCCCATTGCTATGGCAACTCAGCTAGAGGCAAGCCAAGCTAGCCACCATCTAACAAAATATAATTCTACATACTTACCATTATTACTTATTGTCTAAACAACACACAACTATAGGAATAAAAATACACATAGTCACAGGGCCTTTTATGGGGGCTTTTTTTTCTTTTCCTTTTCTCTTAGGATTTGCCTCTTGGTGGTGTCCTCCTCGTACTTGGCTTTCCGCATCTTCCGCTTGGAGCAGCAGCTCTGCTCGTTGAATCGGGATTATCTCTCGCGGGTGCCCCGGAGGTAAGGGATATCCCCAAGGATCAGCACATTCCACTCGGAAACCCCTTCCTTTATCCATTTGTTTGTGCACTAAATTTATATCCCACTTTCCTCCCAACAAGGAACTTAAGGGTAAAACACTACTGAACTAAAAAAAACTGGTAAAAAAATCAGCTACAAAATCTGGCTACCAATATTAAAAAACTCTAAAATCAAGACAGTAAATGAAGAGCAGCTCTCAAAAGGCAGGAGAATTCCAGGCAAGAATCAGTCAGGGCTAGCTAACACCTCCCAACAAAGGATTCCCCCCTGTCCTGATTGTAGAGTTTTAAAAATACTAATAGCCAGATTTTGTTCATTTCCATTGTTTCCTCTTTTCTGTTGAAATTGTCCACATGCTTGTGGATTTCAATGGCTTGCAACTTCAGAGCCTAGCTGATTGCTGCCTGGGAGAATCCTTTGTTGGGAGCTGTTAGCTGAACTCTTTCAAAGCACTAAAAAGCAGCCTCTCTCTTCCTCTCTGCTAAATAAAGAACAATAATAAAAAAACAGGCCAATTTCAGACAAGAATCAATCAGGGCCAGCTAACACCTTCCAACAAAGGATTCCCCCAGACAGGAAACATCCAGACATTGAAGCTGCATGGCTATTCAGTGCTAATCAATGTGGCCAATGGCAACTCTCACACTTGCCTCCAATAGAGAAGAGTTCTTTCTCCCACCCTGGGTGTTATTCCACAGATATATAAACCCCACTTGCCTAGTTTCCAACAGACCTCACGACCTCTGAGGATGCCTGCCATAGATGCATGTGTAACGTCAGGAGAGAATGCTTCTGGAACATGACCATACAGCCCAGAAAACTCACAGCAACCCAGTGATCCTGGCCATGAAAGCCTTCAACAACAAATTTATAGCTCACCTTATAATAAAAATGTCATGGTTAGTGATACTTTAAGGCAGGCCAAAGATATATAGATAAATATATTGTATTTACATATTACTTGTTTTTTAAAAAATATTTTTATTGATTAATATAAACAGAAAGGATTAAGATACAGTTGAAGAGAAGAGAAAAACAAGTGTAGAAAGTTATATGTTATCACATGGAAAGTGGGAGAACAATGCACTGATAGGATAGTAGGAAAAGGGGAGAGAGAGAAAAGAAAAAAAGGAGAGAAAAAAATCATAATTAAAAATGATTAAAAATAGATTAAAATATAATAGATTTGACTTCCATTCCTGTTCATAGCAGTTCATCATTTCATATATGTGTGTGTGTGTGTGTGTGTGTGTGTGTGTGTATATATAGTTAGCCTTTCTCTCTTTTGTTTTTTTTCTTTTTCCTTTTTTCCTTTTCTTTCTTTCTTTTTTCTTTCCCCCCCCCTTTTTTAAATTTACATATTACTTGTAAGCTGCTCTGAGTCCCCTTTGGGGTGAGAAGGGCGGCATATAAATGTCATAAATAAATAAATAGCTGGGTTGTTGTAGGTTTTCCGGGCTATATGGCCATGTTCTAGAGGATGCTTGCCATAGGTGCAGGCGAAACGTCAGGAGAAAATGCCTCTAGAACATGGCCCAAATAGCCCAGAAAACCTACAACAACCCAGTGATTCGGGCCATGAAAGCCTTCGACATAATAAATAGCTTATGGGCATATTTATTTACTTTTCGTTCATCAATTTCATCAGCTCCACTCATGAAATTTCATAAGGGAGCCAAAGGTCAGGTTTATTAAAAAGCATGTCGCACCACATCAAGAGTTTTTATTTCTGTTTTCTGTTTTTAGTGAGTGCAAAACACACTATATAGCAAATATTGTTCAGTTATGGGAATCCAGTACTGAAGTTGGGACAAGACTGAAGTTGCTCATTTGCTCTCGATACATCAATTTTTCAAAGGAAACTTTGGCATCTGTTTTTGTTTTTCCTTTTGTGGGCTCGGGTTTAAATGGGGTGACGTTCCAAGAACAGCGAGGACAAAGGAGAGTGGGAACACTGATGCGTGGACAAAGACGGATTTGTATTATGACTTCACGGAATTTTCTCCCTCCCCACGGACCTTTGACAGTATTTGCCTTTATTTATTTTAATTCATTATAATTAAATAAAGAAACTCCAATAGGAATTGGGAATGCTAGCAAACCAGAAAACATCCCCAGAGAGATGTTCAGTGTGTTGTCGAAAGCTTTCATAGCCTGTGAGTTTTCCAGGCTGTATGGCCATGTTCAAACAGCATTCTCTCCTGACGTTTCGCCCACATCTATGGCAGGCATCCTCAGAGGTTGTGAGGTCTGTTGGAAACTAAACAAGTGATGTTTATATATCAGGAGAGAATGCTTCTGGAACATGGCCATATACCCCAGAAAACTCACAGCGAGCCAGTACGCTTTTTGGTTTCAGGGTTTTGAAAGTTGAGATGGATCTAATGCGCCATTAGATCCAATGGCGCATTAGACTCAAGTCAATAGTTCCAGCCTTTGTCCCTCCGCCCCACGCCCAGTCCTAAAATGTCTCTCTTTAGGCCCAAATAGCTCCAAGATAAAATTATTTTATTTTTATTATTTAGTGTACCCCACGCTTCTCATCCCCAAAGGGAGACTCAGGGTGGCTTACAAACTATGGCAATAATTCAAAATAAAATATGCTGTCACTGTTTGTTCTTATCCTTGTGGCTTTGCTCCTCCCGTCCCCCAGGAGCTTATATGAATTTGCATTTTGATTTATTATGTTTTTATATTGTAATTGTATTTTTGGTGGCATTGAATTTTGCCTTGTAAACCTCCTCGAGTTGCCAGAAGGCTGAAAGGGGTGGTAAACAAATACGGCAAATAAATAAATAAATAAATAAATAAATAAATAAATAATTTTGGCCTTTTTGGGGCTTAAAAAAGTTCTCGCACCCTTGGATCTTGTGTTTACGTTTCTTCTGCTCCTGTTCCATCTTTTAACAGGTGACTGTGGCCCCAAGAGGGATGAGACTAGAGGAAGAGAGAACCACACCTTAAATACAAAATCCTTGCCGCGTCCAAGTGGTTAACATGGCTGCAATGAAGACGAGGCAAAAGGATCCCTTGTTTCGGACGCTTGGACCAAAACTCTGCGTTTATGGAGCGGAAAGGTAGAAGCGCTTCCTTGCCACAGACTCCTTGGCAGCCTCTTTCAGTGGTGCTTTCTATTGCTGGCCAGTAAGGAGGCATCGCCTGGGCTTTGCTCGTCTGTGGATGGTGGCTCCAACCTTATGACTTTTTCTATCGCAAACCACCAAGAAAAGTGGGAGTTGCATTACAGGGCTAATTCCGAGGCACCCGTTTTGTTTCCGGAGTGGGCGGGTTCGTGTCTGCGGCGTCAAAAAGTTTTGCGTCAAAAAGATCGACTGTTATCACCTGCAAACAAGACCGGGACATAGCCAGAGGGATTTACACAAGTTGCGGAGAAGGAGATGGATTTTCTTCCAGGGGTTTCTCTCTCGTCAAGGTTCCACCAGTTCTCACTGCCTGCATTTCCCCAGGAGATTGTGGGAATCTCGCTTTGGTGCCAAGTGCCAATCAAGAAGGAATATTCTCTGGAGGAGGAAGCGGCACAGCCGGGAGCCACCTCTTCCTCCTTCTGAGCACAGAATTACTGCTCTTCATGTATGAACAGGTCACAAAATGCTTGCCCTCAAAATGGCAGTAGTTGCCGTAGTGGTGTTCTGCATCGGGGGAATGCTGTGAGGTGCCAGGCGGGACCCTGAGCGCTCATGGGCCGGGACCGATGGAAAGCAGCCTTGCCAAGACCAAGGGGTCCAAACCATAATGGTTAAAACATTGCAGGAGAGGAGAAAATGAAGAGACATTACTCCCTTGCGTTGCTCTTGTTGCACTTTAATTAGGTCTTGCTCCTTTTAACCCAGAGTGGGATGTTAACACGAGAAAACAAATATCGACATACTTGGTCCAAGGAAGGCCCCTGATGTCTTGACGAATAGGACACTTTTTCTTGAGCTCAAAGAGGATGGAATCAAGGATGCAGGACTTGAGGTTTCTTGGGGCTTCTCTGCACTTTGGATGGCGGAGTATGGGGAGACTGGCTCTGAAAATGGACTGCAAGGCATGCAAACCAGGGCTGATAGCACAACTTGTATTGGTGTGAGTGAGTTGTGGCTCTCCTCTGTCCTTCAGTTGTTGCTCTCGGGCAGAAGCATCCCTCAGGGAAATGGATTGGAGGAAGGAAAGAGAGGCTGACTCTAGAGCAGGAATGGGCAAACTTGGGCCCTCCAGGTGTTTTGGACTTCAATTCCCACCATTCCTAACAGCCTCAGGCCCCTTCCTTTCCCCCCTCAACTGCTTAAGCTCACTGCTAGAGCAGTGATGGCATGATCGTCAGCATAGATGAAATTCTCCCTAAGGGAAAACATAGATCAACTTGGGCCCTCCGGGTATTTTGGACTCCCAACTCCCACCATTCCTAACAGCCTCAGGCCCCCTCCTTTTCCCCCTTGAGCAGTGATGGCATGATCATCAGCATAGATGAAATTCTCCCTAAGGAAAACATAGATCAACTTGGGTCCTCCATGTGTTTTGGACTTCCAATTCCCACCATTTCTAACAGCCTCAGGCCCCTTCCTTTTCCCCCTCAGCCGCTTGAACGTTGGTTATGGGCCCAGCACTCAGCTTAACTTTGGTTATGGGCCCAGCACTCAGATTCACTGGCTGAGGGGAAAAGGAAAGGGCCTGAGGAATGGTGGGAATTGAAGTCCAAAACACCTGGAGGGGCCAAGCTTGCTCATGCCTGCTCTAGATCGAGGTCCCCCAGTGCTCACACACTGGTGCATGATATACGAGGGTTGAATGAAAAGTAATGCCTCCACCTTCGTTACTTGGGTTTGAATGGGAATATTTTAATAAACCAAACACAGAAATAACCCTTAGAATGTGCTCTTTAACTCCCACTATTCACTTTTCCACATAATCACCAGACAATAGGATACATTTCTGCCAACGATGAACAAGTTTTTATGCAGGAAGTCCACACTCTGTTTCCGCAACCAGTGTCTACCGGTTCTCTCAGTGTCTTCATCAGAAGCACAATGATGTCCCCACAGATCTTCTTTCATTATCAGAGACAGATGGAAGTCAGGCGGCGCTAAATCTGCACTGTATGGAGAATGTCGTACGGTGGTGAGATCCAGTCTCTGAAGTTTCAAATCTGTGCGCTTTCATTTCAGGCGTCAGCATCCTGGGTACTCATTGTGCACAGATCTTCCGACAGCCAAGCAAAGCAATAATGTGACCCACACATTCTTGTGAAATGCCGATTAGGCTTGAAATTTCTCTCTGAGTGATATGACGATCGTCCTGAATCAATCTGTCAAACTTTTGCTTGTGAAACTCAGTGATTGCTCTCACAGGACGTCCAGCTCTTTGTCATACAAGTAAGATGTTCCCGCCTCAACATCTTTAAACTTATTCGCCCAATGACGCACAGTGCTCACATCAACACAATCACCATCAACAGCTTGCATTCTCTTATGCATCTCCTTTGGGGTGACACCATCTGCAGTCAAGAATTTAATGACAGCATGTTGCTTAAGTCGCATTGACCGACCATCTGCGCAGGATTCCATACTTCGCACTTTAACAACACAACTGTTAAATGCTAAGGCTTCCCGCCAAAATGGAACTGTAGAGGAGAGTCTACTGAACAAGCCAGTACCTGCCGCATACGTTGCTTAAGTTGCATTGACCGACTGTCTGTGCAGGGTTCCATACTTCGCATTTTAACAGTACAATCGTTCAATGCTAAGGCTTCCTGACAAAATGGGAACTGTAGAGGGGAGTCTACTGAACAAGCCAGTACCTGCCGCATACCAGTACTGCCATCTGTTGAGGAGTTACGAAGGTGGAGACATTACTTTTCATTCAACCCTTGTAGTCTCATAGTAAAAAAACAAAAACACAAGAAGCAGAAGCCATTGAGAAATGGCCAGGTTGAGCATAGGGTGTTGTTCCATAAGCAAGGTGGTACAATCGCACAAAGTGCCACTTGGAAGCCCTCAGAAACCGGGTGGGAGAAATGGATGCATACGTAAGGAAATGTCTCTTAAGACATATGAGCGAGTGAGTGATTGAACCTCTAACACAGAGCATGGAAATGTTGTCATTCCCTCCCTTTCTTTTGGACCACAATAATGTCTTTTGAAGGGATGACAGCCCACAGATCCCTTATATTTATAGTCCTTTCCTCCATAATAATAATGATAATAAATTAATAATAATAATAAACTTTATTTATAGACCGCCCTATCTCCCCGAAGGGACTCAGGGCGGTTCCCAAACATATGGCAACCATTCAATGCCCAAAGAAAACCATTCAGAACAGTTTACATCAAGACAAAGCACATTAGACAATGTAAACAACCCAACTGTAACTTAATGAAAAAAACGACAACCAACAAAATAAGACTAAAAATGAAAAAGAAATAAAAATAAAATACAACATCATAAAATACGAAACCCCTGATAAAAACACCTTTATTTATATATATATGTATGTATGTATGTATGTATGTATGTATATGGAGTCCCCGGTGGCGCAGTGGGTTAAAGCACTGAGCTGCTGAGCTTGTTGATCGAAAGGTCGCAGGTTTGATTCTGGGGAGCGGCGTGAGCTTCCGCTGTCAGCCCTAGCTTCTGCCAACCTAGCAGTTTGAAAACATGCAAATATGAGTAGATCAATAGGTACCACTCCGGCGGGAAGGTAACGGCGCTCCATGCAGTCATGCCGGCCACATGACCTTGGAGGTGTCTACGGACAACGCTGGCTCTTCGGCTTAGAAATGGAGATGAGCACCACACCCCAGAGTCAGACATGACTGGACTTAATGTCAGTGGACTACCTTTACCTTTACCTTTACACTTTTATATATATATATCTTAGGTGATCCTTCATTATCTGAGTAAGATTGTCCTCCAAATTCGGTGTCCTGGCGGTGGGTGCGTAGGTGACTGTGGAGCCCTAGTCTTGACCTGCATGTTATTCCACAGAGGTCAGGGTTGAAAATAATGAAATGAACCCAATGAAATGAACCCAATGAAAATAATGTTATGGTTGGGGGTCACCACCACATGAGGAGGTTGCTGCATTAGGAAGGTGGAGAACCACATCTGATGCCAGGTTTGCTTGAATGAATAAAAATAGTCAAGTATTGTCAAGCAGGAGTGAGAAATATACAGCTCCCCATATGTTGTGGGATTGCAGTTCCCATAACAATAGCCAATAGAGTGAGACTTGATCGGAGTTGGGGGGTCCAACAAAACCCAGAGGGACACCCATTCCCATTCTTGCACTTCTAGACCAAGGAGAGGTAAACAGAGACGTTGCAGTTCAATTCCCTGACTCTTGGCCAGTGTGATCGGGGATGATGGGAGTTGCAGACCAAAAGGATCCAGAGGGTTTGTTTATGGCACTTAGTTGACTGTCTGTCAAAGAAAACACGCCAATTGTATTCTTCCCACCCGGGTGCCAGATGTTCTCCGGCTGCCGGTCGGTCGGTGGGCTTCTTCCTTAGCAATAATGTCTCAGGTGTTTCATGTCTTGTTTGTAATGTGACCCTCTCCTGTTGTGGGGAGGTCAACGTCATGTTTGTGCTGATTATTTTATATTATTTTGGAAAGAGCTGCTAAGGCAAAGTCCTTTTGTTTACTTGCGAGTTGTCTTGGTTATAGAGTCCTGCGGGGTGGGGGGAGGGGGGGTTTCTGGCTGCAGTGACTTCCAGGAATGGGCAGAGCTTGGGAAATGAATCCTTTCTCTGGGACTACAACTCCCATCCCCTAGCCAGCCTGGCCTCTGGCAGTTGTAGTCCTCCAAAGGAACCTTTCCAAGCTCTAGAGGAGTGGTGAGAAAAGGGGCAAAAGCAGATCTGGAAAGTGCCAAGACAATTTGGTCGAAAAATAGATATATATATATACCAAGGTGGGGAGATTTTTTTTTGCTGCATTTTCTATCACCCGGATGCATTTGTGCTTGAGAAGAATGCTTCAGAGCATGACCCATGAGCCGGAAGTCCCAAGTTCAAGTTGCAGCTGAGCTGCGAACACACCGGTGGGCCTCCAATGAGTTCCTCCCTTGGCCTTAGGAGCCCTTCCTTCTTTGATACGGAGATTACAGTGCTGACCTACCTTACAGGGTTGTTGTAAGGATGATCAATGTATGTGGAGAGCTTTGAACACTTTGGAAAAGCGCTTTATAAATATTAAGTATTACCAGTAGTGTTACTCGGTTATGTACGAACTTGTCTTTTCTTTTTCGTCCTCTTCGGGGGTGCTTTGAATGTGCCGTCGCGCCTGGGGGCTATAACTCTTAGTGAAAGAGGCATGGACGTGACATCTTTACCCCAGGGGATTGCTTCTTGCCCTCCTTTAAGAAAACTGGAACTCCCAAGGACCAAAACACTGTAGATAACTCAAAATAAGTTTAATTGTTCACAAAGAGGCAATAAGCTGGAAGTTTCAAAGGGGTAAAGGAAAATATACATTACAGTCTCTGGTTGTCTTGGGTCCAATGAGTTTTGCAGTTGAGAAGCTTTTCTAGGTCCCTCTTTCTCAATGGCTGTGAATATCAAAATAATCACAACCCCAATTCCAATGGCCTATATATTGAAGGCACAAAGCCTTCCTCTGGTGCCAAAGAACTGGTTTGAAGGTGCTAGCAACTTCTCAACATCGTCCAGGTTGATCTGAACATGAAGCATAAGTCTCAAGGGTAAGAACCTCAGAACTGGTGCTGAGAGGGCTTCAGAGCCAAGTCTCTCAGTCACGTCCATCTGATAGAAAGTTTGATGGTGGAATGGAAAAGGAAACACTCTCTTGCTCTATAGGAAGAGGTGGGGTCAAACAATTGAGCAGGAGGAGTAATTCAACTGGTGCAAACAAGATTGATTGACAGCTATAAATAACCAATCAATCCAACTACATTTACAGGGTAAAAAGGCAAAATCAGGCTTGATACAACAGTTCAAATCCTGCAACTTACAGTTCTACATATAGGTGGCGCCACTCACACCGTCACATTGAATGTGATTTTCCTGCTTCTTGGCAGAATGGGGTTGGACTGGATGGCCCATGAGTATTATTTATTTATTTATTTATCAATTTTATATACTGCCACTCCTCGAAGGCTCGGAGCGGTTACAATATACACATGTGATACATTACATTTAAAATCAAAGAAAATTTTCAATCAGCAAGATTCAAATGCCAGCCTAAATAAGTTTTACAAGCTCTACGAAAAGATCGTAAGTCTCGGAGAGCTCGTGTTTCCGCTGGCAAGGCATTCCACAGGAAAGGAGCCACCACCATGAATGCTCTACACCTAGTAGACATCAGGTGAAAGGTCCTAAAATTGGGAACTTCAAGGAGATTCTGATCATCTGAACGACATGATCTCGGGGGTTGGTAGGGGGTGAGGCGGTCCCTCAGGTACTCCAGACCCAGTCCATATAAGGCCTTAAAGGTAAGAATCAGTACTTTGAAGGTAATCCGGTGCTCGATCGGCAACTAGTGCAGTTGCTGCAAGATTGGAGTATTTATTTATTTATCATGTCAGGAGCAACCAGACATT